TGATTTACCTTGAATTTAACAATAAACAAGACGAGTCTGCAGCCATTCAAGCAGCTCTGTGAGGCCTTGCTTCTGCGCAGCATCGTTGGGATGAATCTCACTGCTTTTCTTGGCCCTGCAGAGATTTCAAGGGCCAGGCGTCCATGTTTGCTGAAGTACCCAAGTCAAATGTCATTTGCAAGTGAAGTTAAGTTGCAATTAGTTGATACTTCTGTAAACTATTTTTTATGTCCACATCTCTGCTGTATGATGGTCTCAAGAGAAAAAAACATGAAGCAATATTAAAAAGAAGTAGTCATCAGAAAGGGCTGGAATAAATTCCAAAAATGCCATATCACAACAATGCACTTCACAGTTTTATTTGATTAACTTTGAATCCATGGAAACTACATCCAGTCGGGTTTTTTCTGCTGTGATTTCTGCACCTTTAGGAGTGTCCGGCGGAGTCAGGACAAATGTGTCAGCATGCGTGTAATGCACATTTATGGTTAGCCTGGCTGCTCTAGAAAGAGCTCACAACATTATGGTAGGGAAGAGGCTTCCTCTTTCCACAGAATACCACGTCATTGTCTGGGCGAATATCGGATATTTATCACTTCTGCTTCGCTGAAATCTTCAAAGGCCAGAGTGTGGTCAGAAAAATATAACGACAGGACAGTTTGTGTTGAGTTCCTGTGGTTTGAGTAACGTAATCAAAGTGTTAAAGCTAGAACAGTAACGACAGTGCTAATGAAAACTCTAACCCCCTTTGGTCTTCAGCGTGTTGTTGTTTTTTTACAACAATCACTGTGGCTGTAAAATTATTTTATGTATGATTATTTATTAGGATGAAAAAGCCCTTAATGTTGAACGCTTGAAGCTTGACTGTCACAATTTCACAACACCATGTAATCCGAAAGACTGGAACTTGGAGGGGGCTCTCCGGCTGCACAATAGACTACATCAACTTCTGCCTGTGATCCTTCCAAAGGAAAGACCCAGATCACGCTGCACATTTAAATGCCGCCTCAGCAGAAAGAGATTCAGGCCTACAGAAAGGGGGACTCTGACCAGAGGAAAACCACAGATGAACACTGACGAAAGGAAAAAGAGAGAGAAAGGCACATTCTTTGTGAAGAGGGCGTAGACGCGGATGTGATGCAATAGGCAGTTGATAGAAAAGGTGGATGCAAAGTAGAGACTACCTCTACAAAAAGCACCGCTCCTCTATTGTCTAACTGTACATGGTGGTAAGCATCAGCAAGTTTAGCTTTATCTCGAGTAATGAACCTGACAATATTCACTTTATTCTCATAAATACATAATATAAACACACATGCAAACTGCAAGGCTATTTGAAGTTAATGTATTCATTTATTGTTCAGGCTCTTATAAATAGTACTGATTTACTCTATATTAGGCTGACAATCTAACAGTAACATGCTTGACACTAGATCTTAAATATTTTAGTGGAAGGCATTGTTTAGAGCTCACTGACATGAGTAAACTTTAATTACTTGTGACTTATCTAAGACAACAGTGGAATCAGTTGAAACGTGCTTCTTCTACACAGAAACTAATATCAATGTCTTTGTATTTATTACATTTCCACTATTCACTGCAGACGATGACAGCCCTTATTCACAGCCATATTTCTACTTGTCAAAGCATAGAAAATCACAGGTATCGTTAATAAAATGTAGAAGTAAGTAAGCCACGACTGTGTGACAGTGAGCCAGCATGCACCTTCAACTTGAGAACTGCAAACAACTGAGTGGGTGTCATAAATGCAAAAAATACTTGTAAACGTACCTACAGTACAGTATACAGCTGTATATATCATGTTCTTAACAAACTAAGCCCTAGGCCTTTAACAAAATGAGGGAGAAATTCTACCTTTTTATATTTTATTTTATTTTGGATTATTGCAGTCACAAAAGCTTGAAAAAAAAATAGAAAAACACGTTTTTGTACTTTAAACATTGTTGAATATATATGTTTAAAGGATGTTGTATGTTTATCCCATCGGGGTTCAATGAGTTGCTGTTTCTATCAGTGTAATAATTTGACTGTGTTTCCTGTGAATTCAACCGGACATTTATTTGAAAACATTCATAATGACTAACCTCATTTTCTGCCATTGTATATGTAAAACACAGGGAGCTTTGTTATATTAAGAATTTGGCAAACTGTGAGACTAGAGGATTGTCGCCATCAGCTGGTCGTTAGTTCCTTAACTGCTGCAGTGATGCATCTGTCTTTTGGCTGAAGAGGGCGCCATTTCATTGTCTAAATGAAAGTCTAACCTGGAGCCCATAAAGAGCAGCTTACACAATATAATGGTATGATTTACTAAGATTATTGTAATCATGCTGTCATTGATGATCTGTTTCCGTCTTACCAGGTGCCTAATTTCTGTTATTATAACTGTGATCTTTCAACTGCTGCTCTGTACTTTTCAGATAACTGGAATTATATTATTATGAGTCGAGTGTGAAACCTACAATAATAATGCTCCTCTCTGCATCTCTCACTACATTGTGTTGAGTCTCCTGCCAGTCCTATCTATGTTCTGCATGAATGGGACTCTATGGAGACAGTCCACTACTTTCAGTCACAGTTAACATTCCACATCAGTCTCCCTCCACACTGACACGGCTGATACTATCAGGCAGAACACACACACACACACACACACACACACACACATATGGATGCATGATTAGAAAGTCTTTGCCACAGTGATCACAAAATGATTTCTAGGTCAATCAACTTTTTATAAATAATATTTAAAATGTGTAACAGTCACACAGACAAACACGCACCTACAGACTCACTGAAAAACACACATCCTCGTGATTGCAGCGCCACTGGCGTCGCTCAGAATATCATCAAACAGAGTGGAGTGTCTATCTCTCTGGCAGTGTACAGGTGCAGACCTGTCTGCTTTAGTTAACCTATTTCACCACATTAACCCTCGTATATCACACTGTGACTGCAGAGACAACAAGCAGAGTGAAGATCAAAACACAAGAAAGATAGTGTTTGAGTGTAGAGCATTTAAAGTTATCTTCCCTCTTAAGATCATTTTTTGGGGAATATTTTATTGAGCCGAGCAGAGGCATGTTTAAGCACATAGTACTCTCTGGATTTAATCAATTATTTAGCTTAATACACAGATATATTTCCTGACAATGTCATGGTATGAATATCAAAACAGACAGAGGGAAAACTGTGTGTTCTCCTTTGTTGCTTTTAGCTTTTGTTTTTTAAAATCTTTTTTCTTTCACTGCTGAGAAGACCACATTCTCCACCTGAATGTATCTGCTCCTGTTTAACAGTCCAGTGTGCAGTGTAGGAGGGCTCCCTCTAATGTTTATTGTTAGTTATCACACCAATGAGAGTACAACAAATATTTAAGCACCGGCATAACACATTGTATTTTTCATTGAGATTTCTGGTGATATTGTTATTGTCCCAATTCTTAAGTGGCATATTTTTACTTAGATTAACTTTTTCCACTACTTTCAGTAGGTGATGCAACTAATACGTTACTATTTTACAGCCTTATACAATATTTTCGCATTATACTAATAAAAACATAAAGCTATGTCAGAATAAAAGCTTTGAGAATTGTATATTATATTCAATGTTGTGTCTTGTGAATTGTGTGGAAAGTCTCCTAAAAGCTACTCAACCCTGTGACCATTGACAGTTCTTATTAGAAATGGTAGCAATGTGTCTCTATGGGTGGCAATGTCTAACGGTTGGTCGGCCCATAACTGAAAGATCTCAAAAACTATTGGATGGATTGCAATGACATTTTATACAAACATTAATGGTCCTCAGAGGATAGATCCTGTTGACTTGTTTTTCCGGCACCACCATGAGGTTCAAATTTGTGGTTTTGAGTGAAATGTCGTTTCAACTATTAGATGGATTGCCAAGGAAATTGGTTCATGCATTTATGTTTTCTAGCACCATCCTCAGGTCAAAATATTTATATTTTCAACAGTTTCGTTCATGACCAAAAATCCTGCAAAACTAATGACATTCAGCCTCAGATGTACTTTGTGTCTGGGGCTACTTAGTTAACTATGTTACGCGCTAACAGGCTTAACTAACACGATGACAATGGTAAACATTATATCTGCTAAACATCAGCATGTTAGCATTAAGCTCAAAGCACTGTTGCTAAACAGAGCTTTACTGCGCTGCCAGCATGTCCGCAGATTTTTAGTCGTCTTGTTGCTTTGTGCACATAATATCCTTCCTTCTAATTTGTCTAACAGATACTTATTGCAGACATTGTGTGTTCTGTTGTGTAAGCAATAAGCACTTTGGTCAACTGTTGATGTTTTTAAATGTGAATTAAAAAATACATTTGGATTTTAATTTTGTATTTGTGTCCTGTCCTGCTTGTAAAGTGCTGTTGAATTAGCTTCAGGATCAAAGGGTAACATGTATGTTTATTGCAAAAGGCACCGTACAATTAAATGAAATACATAAATAAACAAATCACTCCCACTGCTGGGATATAATGTCATCAGTTATCATTTAAAGGCACTCAATACAGAATTCAGTGCATATATATTGCCTCCACACAGCTTTCATTTTTGAGAACGCTTAGTTGGTGGCAAGCAGCTAACGGTGCAAACAGTTCAAGCAACGGTGCTGACAGAGCTAACAGTGTTTACTTAGGGGGGAACCCGAGAGTGGGCGCTAAGCTTGTGTGATGACCCCGTCAATCGGGCCACCACCATAACCACTGTTTAATTATGCTGTATCGATAACACTTCTGTATCTGTATTACAGAAAAGACACCAACCTCCGACCCTCCAGATGAGGGCTCCAGAAGAGCTCTTACCAGCCTGTGATGGATTGCTTTGCTTAACACCATGACGAACCACGTCCCTGGGCCTACTATTGTCCCACACAAACACACAGGAAAATACCTCCACCCGTTTTCTCCCACTCGCCAACACCCCCCCCCCCCCCCCCCTCCCCTCCTCACCCACCCTGCCCCACCCTTGCATCTCATCCCCTTACCTCATCCCCCTTCCGCCACTGCTCTTTCTTTCATTCATTTCTTCCCTTTGTACCGTGAGATGCAGAGAGGAAGAGAAGGACGGGGGGAGGCATGGAGGGAAGGAGAGGGACCTTTTGTTGGCTTTCAGGTGGTTTCACATGAAAAGCCAAAGTACACACCTAGGTTGCCGCCACTGACGACCCACGGCGTCTCACTTGCTTCCGCTGAGCACACCTGAGTCAGCCTTCAATTGCCTCTGCACGAATACAAACACTGGCACATTTGCTTGTACATGCGTCTCCAGACATGCAAGTGTGCAAAAATAGGCACACACTTCTGTTGATTTGTTGTTTTTATCTAGCTTGGATTGGAAAGGTTCTGGTAGGTGTTAGATGTACAGGGCTAGGGTGGGAAAGAGGTTATGTGAGGGGGATGGGGCAGGGGATGTGGGTGAGGAGGTGAGGTGGGATGGAGTGTGTGTGTTGGGGGGGTTGATTGCACGGATACTTTCTCTGTTCTCTCCCTGAATGGGCTCTTCTTGCTGCAAGGAGCTCAGGTAGCTGTGTGTGTGTGCGTGTGTGTGTATGTGTTTTATTCCCAGGTAGACCATGGTGAGTGCTCTCAAGTTAGTGTCAGGTGTCAGGTAGCTACTTGTCTTTGTGTCTTCAAGGCTGCCGTTGCTTGGTTAGTGTTTACAGCCCAGAGAGGGAGAGAGGAAGGATGGGGGAGAAGAGGGGAGGGAGCTCTGGCTTTGATCTGATGCAGACTGTTTGATAGTGTGTGTGTGTGAGCGAGGGAGTGAGTGTGAGAAAAAAGAAGAGAGAGGCGCACGCATACTTTTTCCAGTTGCATGAACAAATGCTAACAACTGTTAGCAAGCCTTTCTGGAGCCCTGAGAACAATTTGATTTAACCCCCCCATCTAAAAAAAATGTGTGATTTGAACATTATTGACACACATGGTCAAGTATAGCACTAAATAACTCAATTGACAGATTTATCCCACAACAAATGTTTCATACAGACAATAGCAATGTTTTCTTTAAAGAGCCTATCCGGTTTAATGGGATTCAAACTTTTTTCATCTTACACAGTATCAAGTAAACTTGTATGCCATTTGTATCTCTCTGTGTGAAGTAAGAAGGCGTGCTGAATGTGAGATTAGCTAGTTAAATTACTGATGTTGAGGGATCAGTAGCAGCTCTGCTCAAAAATACACCACCACTGCACTGGTTCTTTAGTACTCAATCATTTTTACATACATACAAATGTATATATTAGCCCAGTGCCTTAGAATATGCATCTACTTTCAAACTACTTTCTTTATAAACTAATTTTAAAGACGCTTTTTACCTCTTTGGTTGACAATGAGGTTGAAATCAGTTGCTTGAGTGTTAGAAAACTGGATGAGGCTACACTGACTCACATTTAACCTTCCACACATCCATCAGAAATGCCAGAGCAGGTGCAATTTTAACAAATATACAGCTGACTCTTCTAACAGTAAGGTGCACCATGCATGGTTGTCAGCATATTTGTGATTGAAGGGGAAAAGGATCACAAATGAAAGGAATATAGAGAGACCAATAAGAGAGCGAGACAGGCAGAGATGGAGAGGCAGCAGACCAGATATGCAGGTTTTACAGTACGTGTGTTTTAGGGCTTCCCCAGGGCCAGACAATTAAAGAGCATTTAAAAAGATGACAGGGCTCTGTGCGCAAGAAGGGGTGAGGTGCTGAGCCCAGGGAGCGCTTGCGGGTGTATGAGGAGCATGTGTGTGTGTGTATATGTTGCTGTAGTGCAGGATCAAGCAAGGTGTTGCTCTGAAGGGTCTGTATATCTGCCTATTTGCATATGAGGTAGTGAAAGAAAGAAATACCATAAAACATCACTTGGAAACAATTCAGGCAACATTTTTTAAACCGACAATAGACAGAGAGCATCAACGCACATTCCACTACAAAGAGGGAGAAAAGCGAGAGCAGAGAGAGAGAGAGAGAGAGAGAGAGAGAGAGAGAGAGAGAGATAGAGAGAGAGAGCGCATGAGAGAGAGACTATGTGTGGAACAGCTCTGAAAGAGTTTTTGTGGTGCAACAAAGGCCCCTCAGAAAACACAGTGGCATAGGAATGTTAATTAATTAATGAGAAACTATTCAGCCTACAGAGAATTTTGGAGAAAGAAAGACAGAAGAGATAGATGGACAGACCAGCTGGAGCGGTAGACAAATTCAACTGGGGGCAAAGAAATTTATGACTGTATAGTTTTCAAATAGCATGGTGTGCAGTTATTCCATTCCCAGTTTCATAAATTCTCATGTTGCATCATTGTTCTTGGCTTCGTACATGCGTGCACTTGCGTGCATACAACAGTTCCCCAAGCCTCCACTTTCCAGGAACTAAGAGAACCTTGTTTTCCACATTGGCTACCGTGCATTTTTCCGTTAATCCAGAGGGGTTTGAAAAGATTTCGTGAGCACAAGTGGTTATCAACTCATTGAAGACCATGTAATCCCTCTCTTAAACCATGAAAATCACCAAAACATGAATTATGAGGTGTGATTTAATGTTAACCCCATTGAGGATTTCTGCTAAATTGCTCAAATATATTGGAATCATCAATTGGTGCATTGTTATATTAATTAATCCCTATTTCAAGTACTGAACTATACTGCTTCTGGGAGATACTTCTAAAATCGAACAAAAGGATAGCATAAAGTCAGCTCTGCTTTGAATGGCGAGCCAGTTTTACTTTCTTTGATTTGTTATAATTATAGAATGCATCATTAGGAGGTTATGTAACATCCCGTACATATGAAGCAGAGAGTCTAATTTTACAGCATTCTTATCTGGAAGTATACAGCCATCATTTGTCTTCAGCGTATCAGGAAAAGCACAGATTTGATTTTCGTACAAAATCTACACAGACAAGAATTATGTGTTTGAATAAAAGAAAGGTAGGTTGGATGAGATTATTTTCAAGATTCTCAGGAAAACCTGCAAGTGAGCACATCGACTATGAAATACAGATCGGCTTTAGCCCGAGGCAGCTGACACTTCTTTACAAATCCACACTCCTCTCTCTATAGACCGGAGTGTGTGTGTGTGTGTGTGTATATGAAATGGATATGCGAGTTCCTTTGCGCCGGTCACTCATAATCTGTTATTTTCTATGGGTGACCCATGTGCGTGTGTGTGCGATCGCGACATTCCAGCAGCAGAAACCTGAGAAGGTGTGACTTACAAGACACTGGATTTGGCTCTTTCTGGGGACTGAGGGGTGCTGAAGTGTCAGAATTCCAATTTCCTCCAAACAGTCACTTCCAGTCACACACTCTCACCCTCTGCATCCCTCTCACAGAGTCAAACACAGCCAGTCTTATCCCTCAGAGCTTTCTTTTTCATCCTCTCTCTTCCAGCTATAAACACCCTCCCTCATTTTCTCCCAGTTCCATTCATAAGGTCCCTCAAGAAGAAATCTCGTCTCACACCACTGTACTGCCAAGCCACCCCCTTCAGCAAACTAAACACTCACTCTTTCTTATCACATCGAGCTTTTAGTTAAAGTAAAACAAGGGGAGAGGAAGAGAGGGAGAAAGAGAGGGAAGAGTTTGAGGATTGTGGGTCCCTCCTACTTTCCGGAGATGCTCCAGCCCATCCCTAAATTGTGGACCAATGAGGGTGGCTCATTCAAAACTCATGCGCTCCTTCTACAATAGGTAAGGAGAGAGAGGGAGAGAGAGAGGGAGAGAGCAAAATATATATACAAGGAGTGAGAGAGAGAGAGTGGGAGAAAGAGGGACTGTGTTTGGGGGAGAAAGAGAGCAAGAAAGGAGAGGGCAGACAGGGAAAAGACGCAAGAAGTTCCAAACAACCCCTGGGGATAAAGTGGTGACTGAGAGATATAGAGAGATGAGGAGATAGAACTTGTGACAGGGACCGTTTTACAGTGTGGACAACCTTACCAGGAGAAAAGGACAGTAAGGGGCTTTTGCACAGAGCCAGAAGCTGAGTATTTGGGAAAGCAAAGAAACATTGAAACCTCCTTACTTGATCAAAGCTGCCTCTTCAAACACCATAGAGGAAAAAAAAGAGTGTGACAAGACAGACATCTCTACAGGTGTAGTTGAAGACAGGTGGACATTCAGACATGCTGCCTGTGCTTCTGCTTCTCTGTGTGACTGGAGGAGTTTGGGGGTCCGCCCCCGGAGTGTGGGGGTACGGACGGATCCAGGACAGACAGGGGCAAGCGGCAGCGCTGTGCCCGTCTCCGTGCCAGTGTGAAGAAGATGGGATCTTTGTCATGGTGGACTGCTCGGAGTTGGGACTATCGTCTGTGCCGACCAACCTCAGCCCTCTCACCACTTACCTGTGAGTACCACATGTTCACAGTTTGGGACTTCCAGGTGTGTCATGTTGTCCCGTTCCCCTTTAACCTTTCCAGCTCCAGGCCTTTCACTTTGTCCTGACCGTTTCCTAGACCCCAATAATGCTTTTTTGTGTTTCCACTTTTTTGCAACTGCCAGTCTTGATTATTCATTTGTAATTTGAAAAAATAGCTTAGTTAAGCTGGGATTCCTCTTTTAAAAATACAGGAGAAGGCAACAATCGCTACGATGCATGACCAGGAATCAGCAGCAGAATCTGCATGTAGCCTCCACAAAAGCAGGCAGGGCCAAGAGGGAACATGTGTGCGTTGATCACTATGGCTAAATGACTGGACCACTTCTTTCAGTATCAGGTTTCTGAGCGCCAACTGGAGACCCAGCGTGAGAGTGTGTGTGTGTGTGTGTGTATGCCTTTGTGTACATATATGCAAGTGTGTTTGTGTGTGTGAAGTTTAATGACCATTTCATGTCACTTATTTGTGTCTAATATTGTTTGATACCAAAATGGTTAAACAGATAGAAAGTTTAATTCTGTATTTTTGTTTTGCTCGATAACCTGACAAAATTGGCTCTTTGAGGGACTTACCTTTCTTTCAGTCCTTTGACTGAATTTTTTAATCTGATTCATGACCTTGTGTTTGAAAGTCTGGCTAGAGAAGTGGCACACACTGTAAATACAATTAGAAACATGATAATTCACATTACTTATTAATAACTTTTAAAAATAAAGAGCTACAGGAATTAGGCGCACTTCAAAACCAGAACGTTTTTTACGAGCAATAAGAGAATCTTAAGACTAATATCATGTAAAAAGACAGCAGATCTGAGCAGTTCCTTACACCACCCTGCTGTGGCTTGAAGCCAGATCTTTCAAATTTCTTCACTACGTAAGCCTCTGAGGAAAGATTAGAGACACTTTGTGATACCTGATTTTGAAATGATAGAAGTCAAATCCAGGAAAAAGGGTGTCGTAGAGAAGTTGCTCACTAGGGGCTCTACAAGTATTACATTAGTAGAGGGACTGGATTTAGATAGAGGGATGAAAGATCCACAGTTTATGTAGAGAACGACTCTAAAAGAGACACATATAAGACTACTTGACCGATGCCCGACTCTTTGGCTGTCATGGGAGCCTGGGACGGCCAGATTTCACTGAATTCTTCAAGAGATAAAACACATGTAGAGTTTATAGAAGTGAAATACGGTCTCCATCCAGGAATCACTCTACCTATGAGAACATCGGTGGGGTTGGCCCAACAGATACACACTCATTCCCTACAAACACAAGAGTAATTGCTCATTTCCCCCTTGTTACCTAACAGTGGAACTGGACCAATTAGTGACTTTGAGGGCTGATTTAGAATAAGATAAATAAACTCAGAGACCAACCGCACATGCCCACACACACAGTGACACCCCCCCCCCCCCCTAACACACACACACACAAACAACTGCAGAGGGGAGAAAAGGGAATGTGGGACAGCAGGAGAGATTCCGCAACAAATTAAGATAAGGGAATCACAGATTTCTCATATGCCTCGCTGATAAAAATCATCAAACAAAAACATAGAAGCCTCCCCTTCCTAACCCTGCCCACATGCTCTCTCATACACACACACACACACACACACACACACACACACACACACACACACATGATCCCGAACCCAGCACACCAGGCTACAGTTTCTCATTTCGTCCTGGAGTATAAAAGGTTACAACAGCGGAGAGCCGGTCCAAACCCCACCAGGATCTGTCGAGCTGTCCAGCACGCCCCGCTGTGCTGCGGAGGCTGGATTAGCCTCCGCAGCACATACTGTAGGCTGCCGAGGTCACAGGGATTTGCTTGGGAACAGTCCACATAACAAACCACATCCACACAATGCTGTGAAAGAATATGACATCATTCACCCGTGTCATCGGAGAACTCTTCAAAGTGAGCTCAACTGTTCATGCTATAGCGGCCCGAGAGGTCAATCCAGGCTGTGTGCACGATTCACTCTACTTTCTAGTTGTTGTTTTGTTGGCACATTTGGATGACCCCGCTTCATAAAGGCAGATAGATAACGGAAAACAAATCAAACAAAAACAATTATATTTACAACACTGAGGCGAATACAGGTTGATTCTGCAATGGAATGTAACTATTCAGAGGCAAAGGTGCTCCGAGCAACTCAGAGCAGAGTGGGTAGAGATTTATGACAATAATCGTTTCCGTGGGCAACACATGAAATGAGCTGTCATGTGAGACGCTTCGAAAGACCTCTTTGATGTCAGATTAGAGAGGAAAGATGGTGCCCAAGGGTGTGTGTCTGTGTGGGTGTGTTTGCATGTGTGTTGAGTTTGAGAACACTACGTACAGTATATACATCGGGGATCGGTGCTGTTTTATGTGTGGCTGCAAGTGAGGTAACTTGTCATACGAGATGGCTTCACAGTGACACCGTAAGTACCCGTCTGTCACAAATGTTAGCTGGGAGCAAATTAATTAGTCAGCTGTCCCTTTGATAGACAGGCTATACATATTCATGGCAAATATTCAATCATGTTATAAAGAATTCAGTTGATTATACTGTACAAAGAGAGTTTCTAAGGTTGTCAGGTGTGTGTTCACACATCTCACACTTCCTTCAGCGGTCAGAAGTGTGTGCATGTGTGAGAAAATAGTGTGTGGGTCCGAGGCTGGTCTGTGATGGAGTTGAGCAGCGATTAGGTGATGCTTTGTGGTAGCGGTGAGCGTGGTGAATTTCTAACGGTGTTTTGGCTGAGGCCAAGAAACCACAGCTAGTGCATTACTAGACAGAGGAAAACTAAGTCATGTGTGTGTGCGTGCATAGACCACCCAGACTGCTGAGGGTTTTTTTTTCTAGAAAGTTGAGATGAAGCAAGTGTAAAAAAAAAGAGAGAGGGAAAATGAAGAACAGGGGTGAAAATTGACAAGGAAAAAAGTGTTAGAAATTGGTGACAAAGAAATGTGCATTTGAAGATTTTGAAGACTGTAGGTTAAGCAGACATGCGCACACTCTCTCACACACACACACACACACACACACACACACACACACACACACACACACACACGCACACACACACGCACACACACACACTGTACACAGACAGGAGACAACATCCTGCCCCTTTATGGTGGCCGTGACTGTAACAGTCGTGTGCGTGTCATTAAGCCATTATGTTGATGGAATGATTCCTATCACGAGCGACCGGGGTCACACTGTAAACATCATGTCTGAGAGAGAGAGAGCGATAGGGAGAAAGAAAGAGAGAGTATGTAAGGAATGGAGGGAGAGGAGGATTTGTGAGGAAAAAATGAACAAAAATAAGAGAATTTCAGAAAAGAAGAGAACAGTGTGTGTGTGTGCTATCAGTGGAGGGTTCTCTATTTAGCAGCTATCAGCTCCAGCATCAGTGTCCTGGCTCCAGACGTCTATGGTGCCCCCCCCCCCCCCCCCCCGCCCCCGCCCCAACTGAACTATACTGCCCTTCCTCTCTTTTACTATGTCTGTCCTTCGTTCCCCACCTATTCTCCTTTGCTCACCTGTTTCCTGTGGCCTCCTCGTTTAGATAGAACAATAATTCATACATTAAGTGCTTGAGTGTGTGAGTGTGTGTCTTCAAAGCAGGTGTTGAAGCTGGTCATGCAGCAAGTGTAAATATATAATCTTTGATGTGCAATGTGCTTTTATAAAATCTAAATGAATGCATATAGCTCAGGGCAGCAGATAAAAGTGAAGGGTGTACCCAAGCAAAGTGGTAAATATTTTCAAGGTGTGTGCGTGTGAGTGTTTGCGTGAGAGAGAGAGAGAGAGAGAGAGAGAGTGTGTGTGCATGTCGGTTGAGGAAGGAGGTGCTTTGGCAACAGGCCAACTAACTAGCAGCTGTGATCAAAGTTGGGGAGGAGAGTTGAAGGCATAATAAAGAGGAAGAACACATTGACATAGGGCAAGGCAATGTAGCCTATCGATATGATATATATATATCATGATATTAGACTAGATATCGTCTTACATTTTGGATGTTGTATTAAAGCATAAGTGTTGACTTTTCCTGGTTTTAAAAATGCATTATTGTTGTGATGTAATCTTTTGAACTTCCCAGACTGTTCTTTCTATTATTTGCCTTTTCCCACTTAGTCATTATATCCACATTACTGATGATTATTTATTAAGAATCTCATTGTGTAAATATTTGGGAAAGCACCAATGGTCAAAACTCTAAAATCATCGTAACAATATCGATATCAAGGTATTTGGTAAAAAATATTGTGATATTTGATTTTCTCCATATCACCACCCTAAGTGACATACTGTATGTCATCGAAGTTATTCTATTCACAAAGTATTTCCTTTCTCCATTCCTTCCCTTACTACTTTGTTTCTTCCTTCCTTCCTGCAAACTTCAAATGTTTGCCTCAGGGGTCAATTCCTCAGCTCTCTCCTAGATTCCCTGGAGGCCCAGCGGTGAACACCAGCAGAAAAAGCCACTTCGGCCTGCTACGAAAGAGATATTTATGCCAGAAGGGTGTTGGAGAGAAGGGATAGGCGGTTTGTGGTTTCCTGTGAGCAACCTGGGAGGCTTTTAAATGTCGCCCAGGGACAGACTGCAGGTAGGCAGGTAGAGGACAACAATGGAAACAATGACGATTCCCTCAGGAGCGGCAGGCAGAGACGACACAGAGGCCATAGTGTGCTCTACCGCTCCATATCCTGTCCTTTGGAAAAAAGCAGAAAGCAATCACGACACAAGATCTTAAAGGGAACTATAGGGTGGAGGAGGTGGAGATCAGGGAAGTAAAGTGGAGAATGTGTTTGGAGAGTATCTGCACGGCTTGCATGTGGACTAAACACAACCGTGGTTGGTATTTGTTGGGGTCAGACCTGTGCCAAACTACTGAATATGTAAATCTTTATGTGTCGTGTGATAGCAGCATGACACAAGTATGACACAGGACCTAGGAATGTGCTCGGT